GCTAATCTGAGTTGTCATGGCTCACCCTTTGGGGCTGCGGTGGCACCCATGGTGAGGGCATGGGATGGTGGAGGAGGGAGCTTCCTGGGCCAGCCTGTGATTCATGGCACATCTCGGGAGGAGGCGGCCAGGCTGGATCCGTGGTGCCTGGAATGTGAGCACAGGCAGCTCCAGCCCCCTTGTTTTCTCTGGCATCTTCCTTCCTGCCTCACACTCTCCCACCTTTCCCGTGCTTGGCGTGAGATGTTGGGGGGGGGAATTCAGCTCAAAATGGTGCCGAGTAAACCTTAAATCCTTAACCCGTTTTGTCTGAGCTGAAGCTTGTTTTGGATGAGGGTGGGGAGCAGCAGGGCTGGCTGGAGGCAGCATGTGGGGGGTGGGTGTGCTGGGTGGGTGCTGTCCCCCTGCAGACACCCTGGTGAGCTGGTGTGTTTTCAGAAGCTGCTCCCAGGGTTTGTCTGTCAAGGGCAGTGAAAAGCCCAGAGGAGCTGTGGGGGCCTGGGGGGAGTCTTTGCTGCCAGGAGATCCCCAGCACGTAGGGGCAGGGTCTGCAGCGTCTGCCATTGAGGCCAGTTTTGGAGCCCTCAGCTTGAGGGTATCAGTGAAGCTAATGAGTGTGTTTAACTTTGCACGTCACTAATTTCTCTCTCAGTGTGTGGTGGCTCCTGGGGGAGCAGGGCTGAGCCAAGGCTCAGGATGGCAGCAAATGCCATCTGCCATCTCGGAGGTGTCATGCTGCAGTGAGGGGAGCTGAGCTGTGGCTGGGAGCTGAATTTCCTCTCTGACTGTGATGCAGTGGCCCTCTCCCTGCTCCCCTCCTTTCCTGCAGAAAGGTGCCCCTGGGGAAGCAGAGATGGGACAGTGCAGGTCTTTAGGGTGGCACAACTCTCCTGTTTGTCCCTTGTCCCATGCAGGACACCCAGACGCTGATGATGATAAGAGGTTTGGAGAGCTTCAAAGCCAGCACCTGAAGCACTCAGCCACCATAAAGAGACATGCATCTGATTCCTCTGTGTGTGAAGCCTGGTTTTGCTAAGAGATGGTGGCTGGGTCCCCTCTGCAGTGCTGCCCTTGTGCCCTGTCCTGGGGACACTTGTGTAACGTGGGGATCCAGTTACTGCCGAGCCAGGGCTGCCGGGCTCAGCTGCTGCCCAGTGCTGGAGCCAGCAGGAAGCACAGCCCTTCCCATCTGAAAGTGGCAACTTGGATCTCCAAGGAGCCCTCCCTTGGAAGGGGAACAGGAGATAGTGAAATTGTAGAAGCTGAGCTGAGGGTAGCACTGGGCTGCTGCGTTTCCAGTGATTGTCCCTTTGCTGCCATCTCCCTCCGCAAAGGGTTAACTCTGGTTGTGCTCTGGATTACTGTGATTGCAAAATCTCCTGCTTCTGAAGCTGGTGGGAGGGTGTCCCCAGGCTGGTACTCTCAGCTGGGGTGGGATGGAGCAGCTGACCCTTGCTGAACCTCAGGGGAAACATGAGGTGCTTTTCTCATCCCAGCCCTCTCATTGCAAGCCAAGAAATACAAACCTTGCTGCAGCCACAGGCTGCTCTGGATACCAGAGCTGAATTAGGAACCTGGGTGGTGTCACCACACACCCCCAAGTATGTTTGATATGGAGTTCCCATGACCAAGTCATGCCTGTGACACCCGAACATCAGCCACCAGTTGTTTCACTGCTGCCTGAAGAGGAGAAGCTGCTGGAAGTGCTGCCCTCGCCCTGCCTGGACCAGGAGCGAGAGCTGCTTCCCTTCTCTGTGCCGTGCTGGGCTACATCCCTGGCTGCACGGGGCACAGGGAGCTGGTGCTTTGTGCTGAGGGCAGGACAGAGGCTGTGCAGGTGCTGTGGGTGATGCTGGGGCCCGTGGGTTCCTTCTACTCTGGCTTGGGCATCCCCATGTCCCTCCTGCATCCCCCCGCAGCGGTCGTG